TTTTTTTTATAAACAGGCATATTGAATTACTTATTTGTGAAAAAATCAATAATGCTTACTTACTCACGGTGGGTACATGTTAATATGTCCACCTCTTATGTGGCATGCACATATTGACATACATCACTAATGTGTACCTTCTACATAAGCGGTGAACATATCAAAATGTGTCCACCGTGAGTAGAGGTTGTAAAAATTGTTTGATATGTTATTTTGAGAATTTTATATTGACATGTGTTATATGTATTTTCTTGAAGACTTACTAAACCAAGTTTGAAAAACTAGTGCTCCATGCATGCGTTATAAAATGTTTGCGAACAACAACAAATAAATTATAAAATAACTTCTCATTAAACTATAACTTCGTTAAAAATCAAACCGACAAATCTTATCAATAAACAGAATTTCAATGGAAAAGAAAATTGTATCATAATATGATTTCTTATATCACATTATTACCATATGGAAATTATATTATATATAAGTTATTTTACTAATATATTTTACGTAAAAATTTATATTTACTGAGTACTCTCGATCGGTCATAGTATAACTGTCGAGCCAAAGGCTACATGAAATGTGAACCCAAAGGCTACATATATGATTTGGCGAACCCTGAAGTTAAATGTAATTTGGTGAACTCGAAGATTACATATATATAGTTCCGCTCATTGCCCGGTACGTATTCTGAGAATACGTTTTTCAATTAAATTAATTGAAAAACGTATTCTCAGAATACGTTTTTCATGTAAATAAAGTGGTGGGCACTGCCCACCGTGGGCAGGGGATCAAAATTTTACATATATAATATAAATGCATGTGGAGATCACATATATAATTTGATATCAAACTAAAAATACAAAATAATTAAAATATGAAAATTAATGTTTATTTTTGTGTAATACAATTGTTACAGATTCGAAATAAAATATTTAGTCAATCTAACTAAAACAAATAGATAAGAAGAAATTCATTAGTCAAATAGTTTAATATTTAATTATGGGTGTTATATGAGTTTTTTTTTTATTATTATTATTATTGAATCTCATAGTCTCAAATAATTTAATATTTAATTATGGGTGTTATATGAGTTTTTTTTTTTTTTT